AGGTTCATAAGTAACCTAAAATTTTTTTCTTATAATCTAAAAATAAATACTGCAAAAAAGTAATCCTTATTTTCAAAAATAATTGTACAAAGTTTTATTTAATTATTTTAGTTTTTTATAAAAGTAAATCAGAGTCAAAAAAGTGCAAAAACATAGGCAAATTTGCCTGTATTCTATTACAATCTAAGGGACAATAAACAAATAAGGCTTCTAGTTATAATAAAACTTATAACAAATAGATAGTTTGTAATAAATAATTAAGAATCTTGTTAAATGGTGCCCCATGCACTTTGTGCACCCCCATATGTCACGTGATATAGTAATAAATATTTTAAATGTAGATTATATAAATGTGATTTTTATTATTGTTGCAATATTATCTTAGATATAATACTCGCTCATTTCCAATCTAAGAACTCCTCTAACTTTTTTTATTATTTCACTTTAAGTATCCATTCAAATAGAAAATTTGAAAAATAGTTAAGTAATATTAATCATGCTATCAGTTGTATTGTAAGTTATTAAAAAGAAATCTCGGCCATTTGTGTACTATATTAACCCATACTTGTATGGCATTTAGCACTAGTTCAATCGGTCAGCCTTTTCTGCGTAGATAGCTGCATATATCATAAAGGATAATTATCACACGAGTAACAGGCTTTAATTTAAACCTGGTAGATAAAATAATAATGTTGATGTTGAATAAAATATATAAAGTAAAGGATAATCGGATACGTACGTATTGGGTGATGCCCAAATGCAGGGTAATTGATAACATATGTACGTACGTACGTATGTATGTAATAAGAAAATGCAGTTTAGTATACATAGAAAAGAAAAAAATCCAAGTTAAAAACAAGTAATAGAAATCATATTTTCTTACCGTGTTGGTAGTTACATAGTATTATTTGATCCCATGTTGACAAAATATTAACTAATTAACATTCGGTCCATCGAAAAGTACTAAAGCAATATTTTATAGTCCACAGTATTATACTCTCTGAATACGTATAAACTCTTTAATTAACACAGACAATAACGGTATGCTCAAATGCTAATGAAATTAAAAATTAATTACATAGTGTTAGTAGTTTAATTGTGTAGTTTCATTTATGTTGCCTTGAGATTCTAAATATAACTTCTTGTAGAAGTTAACATTAGAGCTAGTAATCAGGTTAAATAAAATTCTAATATAGAACCTATCAATTCTAATATTTAGCTTATACATGAAACTATAAATAAAATCTTATGACAACATATTTGGGTTTTATCTTGCTGCTAACGTTTAATTATACAAGCTGTTCATAGTAAAAACTACAACTTCAAATATTACACGCTGAACTTCTATACTATATAGATATTCGCTATGCAATTCTAACTCTAGTAAATACTACCTTATACATATAATCTTATACCAACCAAATTTCTATTCTAATTAGCTTCATCAGCGAGCCTTGTCTTGCAACACCTAATATTATGACCAATTTCTTGACAATATGTACATTTAATACATCTTTGCTTTGTAGTTTTAGATAATTGCTGGTTATTCTTATTATTTTCTATACTGTTAAGAATCCTTTGAGCTTTTGTTGGATGTCCTTTTCAGCGTTTTAGAATGGGGTTTTCAACTTCAACTAGATCTTTTCTCTTTCGAGTATCGTCAAGCTCATTTAAAGAGTTGAATAGTTTATTTTTATTTTCTGATTCTAGATGATTTTTTTCATTTGAATTGGTAATGCTCAATTTATTAAGATTATTAAATGTGTGTGTCGTATTATTAAGATCTAGATTTGGTTTTATTTCTTTTTCATGGAAATTTTCAAGCATTGTTATTAGCTTCTTATCTAAATCCAGTTCGATTGCCTTATTTATCATTACTTTTGCAAGACTAAATGCTTTCGCAAATCTTTGCTTAGCCTTTAGTTGCCGTTAAGCTAAACCTTGCTCTTGTCTTGATAATCCAATTACTTTGCTATTCTCAGTAGAGATCCATTTTATTGAAAGTTGAGTTGTAGAACTATTTGTATCTTCATTCACTAATCTAATAAAGTTTTTGTTATTTAAGTCACTACCATATACATTGTTATTGAGCCAATGACGATTAATCATATTAATGTGAAATCCAGCTTCTGGTGATGTACAAATGACACGAAGAAAGTGTTTACAGACCCAGCCTGAAATAGTCTCTAATTTGTATGTATATTTATAATTGCCAGTTTTTAAGAGAAAAACAAATTGAGGAGGTGCCACATATGTCATATGTTGTACTTCCCATATCGAAGCTAACTGATCATGAAAATCATTGAGAATGGTGTTTGCTGAGGTTTGAGGTAAATCAAAAACTTCATCAATACAAGCTGTTTCACACGAGAACTCAATATCTTTCTTATTATGATCAACTCATATTGCATTATACAAAAGACTATAATTCATTTGTTCTTGAATTTTTTCAGTTATTGCAAGAGTCACACAATTATGAAGTTCACTATCAACCTCATGAAAGATTGTATTATATATATTAGGTGGTGTGATAATAGGCATTGTTTCTTTCTATACTACAAATTCTTTATGATTTTGGCGCTCCTTAAGAATCCGAGTAATGCTTGTGCAGAGATCATTTAATGATACACATCAACCATCTAAATCTTTTTTAATTATTCCATTAACACTCTCAACACGGCTTGTAGATTGCATTCCAGCTGTGAAACACGAACTCGTATAACATCTTGTCCATGACTTTTTGCTTTTATATAAATGTTTAAGATAGCTTGCTGCAGCAGGGTAATCCTCAATTAATTTTACATATTCATACTCAAAGCTTTCAATACTAAGTTTATTGCGGCATTGAAAAAATTTTTTGGCAAAACCTTCATAATCACCATGTAACTTATTTTTTAAATTTTTAGGAAGATTTTGGCCTATATATCAGATGCAGTGCAAATGTCTTGTTTTAGGATAGGTTTGAGCAATAGCCGCATCTATTGCAGGATCGGCATCAGTAATAATTACTGGTGGGCAAAGCCCAAGTGCTTGTTGTATAACCCTTAAACTCCACACATATGATTCAAAAGACTCATCTTTAAGAAATGCTTGTGCAACAGGCTGTATATTAAAGTTATTGTCAACCACTATAAAAATTGAAAGTAGAAGACCATATATATTGGTCTTGGCAGTATTATCATGTGCGACAACTGAGCTGTATCGGATATATAACTCAACTTGTTGTGGCTCCATCTATAATAGATGCGAAAGAGCTTGAGACACTGGATTTAGTTGATACTCTACAACCCATTCTGAGTTATCAGCCTTCTTTTCTAACAAAAAATTAAGAACATTGAATGTATCATTTTTTGCAGGCCCTTTTTTATACTGAATTATATGAATTGCATTATATAGATCTTGCTTGACGACACGACATTGATATTTGCTTACAAGCATCCGGTATTGTTTTGTTGCATTAAGGCTGCCTTCAAGTGTCCAAAAACGAATATCTTCTAACATTTCCTCACTTAACTTTCGAAATTGAGTTAAAAAATGTGCATTTTGCGGGTCTGGACTGTGCCCTCTATGTTTATCGACGAATGTTGTTACCTCATAAATTTTATCACCTTTTTTGACAATATTAATATGCCATGTACAACCAACTTTGCATGAAGTTTTATTTCGCTGTTGATCAAGCCCTGCAGATTTATTTGGTTTATATGTCTCTGCATGTTTGCATAAAAAGGTTCTTTTTTTAGCGTCCTCTAATCTTTCACTTTTTTTTGAGCATCCCTTTCTATACCCAAACCCTTTTTGCTTGCAATAATAATTAAGGAATATTATAACTTCTTGCCATGATACAAATCGTTTACCAATATAAAGGTTATCTGTCTCATCTTTATCATTCTTTAGCCAATCATCATTACTAGTCAATTCATTTGTATTAGAATAATCTCTAACTGATTCATTCTCATAATAATTCTCAACTAATTTGTCCTTATTAAAATAATTTTCTGCTAGTTCGTTTAGACAATTATCCTCTATAAAGTTATTCCTGCCTAAATAACTTTCTGTAAATTTATTTCTGTCAAAGTTATCCTTATCGAATTTTTCTACAAATTTATCTTCACTTAAAAAATTAGTTACTAATTCATTATCACTATCGATTTCAATTTGATCAACCATATTATTATGCTGTCAGTTGAATAAAATAAATTTTTTGTAATAAAAGCTTTATTTTTACTAAATAATAGTAGTATTTAAATCAGTATTATCTACTTAAAAGTGAACATAAAGGTTTAGAAGCAAGTGCAAACACTACAAAGAAACTTTGAGCATGAAAAAAGCTAACAACAAATATTTTTTTTTTAAACACAAGTAAAGTTTAAAGGCAAATGCAAATGCTATAAAAAAAATTTGGATATGTGAAAAGCTAACAACGAACAGTTTGATTTTTTTTAAAAAGTAAAAATCGCGTTATTATCTATCACATATGTATATAAATATACTAATTATTACACATTACATATTAAGTACGTATGTGTATAAGCCACTGAAGATCGACATTAATGTATATAAAAAATATAAAATCACGTGAGGTGCACTAAATGCCCAGTGCACCGTATAAATTTTTCCAATAATTAATTATAAAAAAATAA